GTGGGTACACCAGGCACGACGCGGCTGGCTGGCTGGCTGGCGGTGATGCACGCGGGGTAAATGTTCTCTGTGCTGGAGCTCAGCCCCACCCGCCCAACGGACGAACATTTTACCGCGCGGCGCGGTGAGTTTCGATAGGCCGGCCACGCTGGCCACTGTGCAGAGGGAGAAATCATCAACAGAAGTGGCAATGCGCCCCACTGTGCCGCGCCACTCCATCCAGCAGTGGCCTCTCAGGCTTCCCCTGCTCCTCCCGCCTCTGCGCCAATCCCATCCATCAAAAGTTGCTGTTCCCCGACCCTCAACGCCGCTGCTCATGCTTATTATGCGCTGGGGTTAACAGACCACTTACCCCCACTACAGAGTAGTCGTGACCATTTACAGTGGCAGACAGTGGTATTTACAGCAAGTATTGTACAGCGCGCTAGGGAGTGCAGTATACAGTAGTATTCAAGTATCTTTTGTTATGGCTTCGCAGCACCGATCAGCAGTGGTTGGTGCAGTGTAAAGCTGTGATCATGGAACTGATTGCTGTGGCCGTGCGGCATTCAGACGGGCCGTTGTACAGAAACAGTATTCGGCTTGATCAACTGATTGCTACGGCAGCAGGGCCGAACCCTTGACCGATTGGTGGGAGGTGATGCGCCTCTCCAACTAACGTGCAGGTTCATTTTTAGATGAGAAACAGCCAGCGGCGGGGTGACCGCACAGCCAGCCCGGCACAGCAGGGGAAACTACACGAGATGTTTCCAACACGCCGCATCATTTGCAGCAATTCCTAGATCGGGAAACTTCGTTCGGCAAGCTCTCAAAGACGGCAAAGGCAGGCTAATCTAATCCGTGATGTGAATCTCTTCCCATGGCACACCACCAAGTCCCCAAGTCAGACGGTCAGCAATTGCAAAGCCATCATGTTCATAAGAGCAGTGAACGCCATGAACATACAAGCTTATACCACTGATCAAGAACGGAACAGAACAAAGGTCAGCCCAATTTTGGATGTGGCTTGCGTACAAAATTCATTCTCATAGGAGCTGCTAACAAAGTCCGGCCCGCGCTTATTTTGATATGAGCGATTGGAGGAATTACACATACAGTAGCAATAATAGACATTTAAACATAATAGTAGTAGTAGTAATAATGGGGCTTAGGAGGAGTTTTACGGGTGATCATGGAGGTGCGGGAGAACTGGGAACGAAGAAGCGATTACATTACTACATGCCGGTGGTCGGCTCGGAGTTCGTCGTCCGTCCACCTCTTCACGCCGGACGGACGGAACCACCCGTAGCCCCGTCGATCGTAGCCGGTCGCTGCAATTCAGCGTTTACTGACATGACATTTAGCTTCTTCTTCAGAGGTGCGTGCGTGCGTGCGCCGGAGAGCCGGGGCGGCCGCCGGGGTTGTGTTGTCCTCCATGCTCACGATGTGTACTTACAGCGTTCAAAACTCGCGATCACGGCGCGGCCAGGCGCCATGCCGAGGTGGCGATCAGCGGGCGCGTGTGCCACCCGAGAGTCAGGCAGCCCTCCTTCTCCTCCACCTTGTACCCGTCGCCGCCGGCGAATAGGGCCAGCAGCGTGCTCGCCTGCTTGTAGGCATTGGAGCCCAGGTGCACGGTCTCGAACCCGGCGTTGCCCAGCCGGTTCCGCCACTGCCCCAGCGTCTCGTGGCGCTCTGTGCGCTCCGCCCCCTCGCAGGCCACCACGTTGCAGATCTGCCGGCCGAGGTACACCTCGGACATGACCTGGTCCGTGCCGGCGGCGGCAGGAGCAGCGGCAGCCCCCGATGAGACTTCGGATGGGCCGCCGGAGCTGCCGCCCTCGAGGGAATCGAACATGGTGGAGTAGTAGTGCAGAGACTCGGTGAAGCGGTCCAGGAATGTGCCGGAGTTGTGGTTGGCCTCCTGCTCCACCACGGTGACGATCCTCGGCCGCACGGCGCGCACGGTGCCCAGGACCTTCTCCAGGGCGCCGGGCTGCGCGAGCAGCCGGTGCATCTCGAAGACCGAGTTGACGGCGATTACCTCGGGCTCCTCGTTCGGGTCCTCCTCGCCCTCCGGCTGCAGCATGAATGGCTCCAGGTCCGCGAGCGTGGCGGCGACGAGGCCGCGGTACTGGAAGTCGACGCGGATGGTGTGCGCGAACTGGGCGAGCTTCCAGCCCACCTGCTGCAAGGCGTCGGTCTCGTCCGGCTGCGGGGGGCCGACGCCGGTGAGGCGGAACGAGGGAGGGCCGCCGGGACGGAGCGCGAGGGCCTGGAGGAGGGCGGGCCACTGCATCCCCTGCTTGATGCCGAAGTCGACGACGTGCACGCGGCGGCAGCCGGCGAAGGCCTCCAGGATGGCCTGGTTGGCGGTGAAGTGGGCGAACTTGAGGTAGGGGCAGGACTCGTAGAAGTGCGCGTGGAGGAGGTCGGCGAAGGCGGCGTCGAGGAGGGAGCTGTCCGGCTGCGGGCGGAAGCGGAAGACGCGGCGGGCGAGGGCCTCGCCGAAGTAGGCGGCGACCTTGCGCATCGCGCCGCCCTGGGACGCGGCCAGCAAGGGTATCTGCTTCACCAGCGCCTCCGCGGCAGAGAAGTTCTCCTGCTGCACGGCCTCCGCGCAGGCCAGCAGCGCGTGCACCAGCCGAATCCCGGCCTCCTGCGTGTCGACCACGACGACCGGCAGCGCGGGCGCGTTGGCCCCGGCCGCGACCGGCGGAGCAGCCTCCACCACAGAGCTCCTGGCGCCCCCACCGAGAGAGGACGAGGAGGATGACGACGACGAGGTGCTGCTCCCGCCAGTGCGCATCCGCTTGGGGTCCCGCACGGAGTCGGCGGACAGGTCGGCCGGCCCGACGGCGCCGGCCGGGGAGGGGATCGGCCGCAGGGCGTAGGTGCTGCAGGAGGAGTCAACCGAGGGCGGGAGATCGAAGTACCCACCGCCCGTGACGGTGGAGGAGGTGGAGGCGTTGAGCTGCTGCGGGGCGGGCGGGAGGGGCGGCGGCGGCGCGTTGAGCTCCGACAGCATGCTCTCGACCCAGGAGGAGAGGTCGGTGGGGTTGTAGTGCACGGTGTCCGTGGCGAGGTGGGTGGCGAAGCTGTCGTCGGGGGCGGCGCCGGCGCCCACGCCGCCCATCCCCATGGCCATCTCCAGCTGCTCCAGCTTCTGCGCCACGTCCGCCATGTCGGAGGCCCGCACCTTGTACCCGAGCGCCGCCAGCAGCTCGTCCACCTCCTCCCCCTCCCCCGCCGCCGCCGACACCATCATCTTGTCCTCAGACGAGCCCATGCCGCCCCCGCCACCGCTCCCGCCGGCGTCCTGGTACTCGCGCTTCATGATCTCGCCTCACCGCGAGCGAGCTGCCTCGCTTCTCTACCTATCTCCGGCCAATAATTGCGCCAAGCTTTTGCTTGCCTCGGTTCCGGTTCTGGGGAGGGTCGGGATTTGGATCCAGGGTCGGGGGGCGGGGGGTGGGGGAGGAAGAAG